CCCCCCCCCCAGGACCAGGGGCAGAGGCTTAGGCCCCTGACTGCCTGACTGTGCCTTGATGTGGGTGTGGGGACTCAGAGGACCACACATAGGCTCCAACAAGGGGAAATGGAGTGGATGTCTGTGTCCATCAGAAGATGTTCTGTCACAAGGAACAAAATGCTGATGTCAGGTGGCTCTGAGAGTAAAGGAGACAGGTGGATGATTGTCTCAGGGCTGTCCAGGGGGGCAGGTGGGTAACCCAGGATGTCTATTCCACCTCTCTGTGCTGTGTCTTCCTGGGGATCAATGTGGTTATGGTCTGACCCCTGTGAGCTTGCAGGAAAATCTGCACCACCCCAGTGAGCCCATCTATTTCCATTTGCTCTCAGAAGAATGGAGGATGGGATATTTCTGTTAGAAGCTTTTTGAGAAGAATGAGAAAGTCTCTTCTTCTGAGGTCCCCAAAAATGTCTCTTGAATCTCCCAGCTGACACTGGGTCACCTGCTCTTCCTGACCCAACAGTATCTCTACATTTAGGCAATGATGGGGTGGATCTGGAAATACCCTGGGCCTTTCAGAGATTTGTGAGCACCTAAGGAAGTAGTTATAGAAGGAGGAATCTCTGCTTGGGCAGCAACCACCTAAGACACCTGCCAATCACTGGGTTCCGGGTATAGATACATATTTATGAATATAACATGAATTTGCTGCTGTCCAAATGGGATCACACTTTGCACATCGTTTATCATTTTTCATTTTTTACTTAATTGTGTGTCTTCCAGATCATTCCATTTCAGGACAGGTTTGCTCTATTGTATTATTTTAATTGCTTCAGCATTTTCTTCAGTATGACAATATCTGTAAGAAATTACTACTTAGTGGCTCAAAACAACACAGTTAGTCTCCTACAGTTCTTTTGGTCACAAGTCCAAAATGAGTCTCTTGGCGGTCCAAAGGAGAATGTTTCCTGGCTTTTCACAGTTTCTAGAGGTCACCTGCATTCCTCGGCTCATGGCCCCTTCTTCCACCTTCAAAGTCAGCAACATTACACCTCTACGATCCTTCTTCTGTAGCTACATCTCCCTCTGCTTAGAGTCAGGAAAGAATCTCCCTTTTGCAGGGCTCAAGTGGCTAGATAATCCAGAGTGCTATCCCCATCTCAAGATCCTTAATCACACCTGCAAAGCTTCCTTTACAATGTAAGGTGATATATTCACAGGTTTTAGGGAGGTGAACACAGGTGTCTAGTGTCTGATTGAATCCCTATTTTTGATTCTTCTAGGTATATGCCTTGCAGTGGGACTCCTGGAGCCTATGGGAATTCTTCATGATCAGCCATCACATTTTTTCCACAGCTGCTGTCCCATTTTACATCCCTACCAGACTATTATGAACAATTATATGCCCCTAAATGGGATAATCCAGAAGAAATAGATAAATTCCTGGACCCTAAACAACCTACCAAGATTGAGTTTCTATGTTTTTATTTTGGGGGGTGGGGTGGGTGGGTGTGTACTAGGGATTGAACTCAGGGGCACTCAACTACTGAGCCACATCCCCAGCCCTATTTTGTATTTTATTTAGAGACAGATTTTCACTGAGTTGCTTAGCACCTTGCTTTTGCTGAGGCTGGTGTTGATATCTTTTTTTTTAAAAAAATATTTATTTTTAAATGGTGCTGAGGATCAAACCCAGTGCCTCACATGTATGAGGTAAGCACTCTACTGCTGAGCTATAACCCCAGCTCTGGCTTTGAACTCTTGATCCTCCTGCCTCATCCTCTGAGCCACTAGGATTACAGGCGTGTGCCAAGAGCCTGGCTTCTATTTTTTTTTTTTTGATTCAGTTTTGATAGATTATGCTTCTAGGAATTTTTCCATCTCATCTAAGTTGTCCATGTATTGATATAAATTGTTCATTATGTTTTCTGTCAATCCTTTTGTATTTTTGTAAAGATGGGAGTAATGAATGATTCCACTTTCATCGTCTTCATTTTTGAAAAACAACTTTACTGGATATAACATTCTGGATTGGCAGTTTTTTCTTTCAGCATTTTGAATAAGTTGCCACTGCCTTCTGGTCACCATTTCCACCCCCAGTACTGGGGATTGAATCCAGGTCTCCTACATGCTAGGCAAGTGCTCTACCATTGAGCTATATCCCCAGATTGACCTTCTTTCCTTTAGGTGGAGTTTTGCTAAATTTCTGAGGCTGACCTTGAATTTGCAATTATGCTTCAGCCTCCAGAGCAGCTGGAATTACAGGGAGGTGCCACTGTGCCTGGCATCCACTTGGTTTTATAAAGGTTTTTAAATTGGTTCTTTTAAAATTTTCTCCATTTATGTATTCTTTGATTTTGTTGTTAGCATACCTTCTATTAATCATTTTTTTATTTTTAATTTTTTTTAATATTTATTTTTTTGTTTTAGATGGACACAATATCTTTATTTATTTTTTTATGTGGTGCTGAGGATCGAACCCAGTGCCTTGCGCATGCCAGGCCAGCGTGCTACCACTTGAGCCACATCCCTAGTCCCTCTATTAATCATTTAAATATGCTTTTATTTAGTATATATATATATATATTTTTTTTAAAACCAAGAATTGAATCCAGGTATGATTAACCATTGAGCCACATCCCCAATCCTTTTTTATATTTTTGAGACAGGATCTCTGTAAGTTGCTCTAGTGTCTTGCTAAGTGACTGAGGCTGGCTTTGAACTCTGAATCCTCCTGACTCAGCATCCAGAGCTGAGCTGCTGGGATTGCAGGCAGGTGCCACCACACCCTGCTCTTTTAATGTACTTGAAATAGCTGTTTTGAAGTCTTTATCTACTATGCCCAGTATACTGGACCCCTCAAAGACAGATTCTTTACCAGCAATATTTCCCTTGTGAATTGGTAAAATTTCCTATTTCTTTGCCTGTTTTAAATATATATACATATACATACACACATATATATATATATATTTTTTTTAATGGAAAAGAAGGCATCTTAGATAATATATTGTAGCAAATTCAGACAGTGATTTCTGCCCTCCTCCCTGCTGACTTATATTGTTGTTTGTTTGGTCATTTGCTTATTTGTTTAGTGTCTTGGGTGAAATATTTCTGTTATCTATTTTCCTGTCAATTTTCAGTCTCTAATATCCCAGCTCAGACCCAACCCCTCCTTGTGCTTATTTTAATGTTCTACCCTGGCATTCCCGAGTTAATTTATGGGTGAGTGTAAGCCACTCATTGGTGGATGCTTGCCTCTAGTCAGTTTTATTTTCACTATTGGTCATTGGATATATGTGCAGCATGAATTCTGCTTTCACAGCCTTTGGAATTTACTATTTCCCCACAGATTCAGCCAGGAACTAGTGGCTTAGATGGTCCCCATGCATTTGCTCCCGGGAAGACATAGCCTTGGGCTTGTGCAGAGCCTTTCAGTACATTAGGGATGAGTGTGATTTTATTTTTAATCCTGGTTTACTAGGAGTCACCCCTAGGTCAGGGTAGCTTTTTGGTGAAAGGTTGTACTTCAGTCCATTGAACCAGGAAAGTTTCTGCCTTTTGCAGATATCTGTGTGGCTTGGGAAATGCATTTAAATAGACTCCACTTTCTGTTCCTGATTTGGTGCAGCCTAGTGCATGCACAGGCCCTTAAAGCTAAATGAGAGCATAGGAGAAATTTTCTTGGTGGTTTCTTCCACTTTGTTAAGCTAATGGCAGGTTGCTATTTCACTTTTTTTTTTTCCTGCTAGTATCACAGAGCTCTGTATGGCTCACCAATAAGACCTCTATTGTTTTAAGCAATACCTTTAGTGTGAACTAATCCTAACCCTCTTCTTTCAAATAAATTCAGTCACCTCAGACAGAGCTGCAGAGCACTAATCTTTTCAGCTTGCCTATCATTCTGGGCACAATATTTGTGCCACTGCACTAGATCTGAGGATGGCAGCCTGCTACAGTTGGAGTGAAATGAGTAGCTTATGAGTGGTCACAGGGAAGGGGGCTGCTATCCATTTGTCTTTCCATTTGCTGTATTAGTCTATTTTCTATTACTATAACAAAATACCTGGGGGCTGGGTACTTTGTAAAGGAAGGATATTTATCTCACAGATCTGGAGGTTCAAGATCATAGTGCTAGTATCTGCTCAGCTCTGATGAGGGCCTTCTGGCGATTATATCACAACACAGCAGATTGCATCATGGTGGGAAACATGTGCAAGAGGGTGGAATCATATGGTGACAGGAAGCCAGAGAAACTTCAGGGCCAGGTTATTTAAAAATAATTATCATGTGAACTAACTGGGGTCCTATGAGAGCTACACTTATCCTTTCCAAGAGAAGCACCCTCAATGAGCTAAGCACGTCCTCTAGGCTGCACCTTTTCCAGGTTCCACCATCTTAACACTGCCTCCCTGGGGACCATATGTCAACTACAAGAATCCAGGCTGGACGTCTGGAGCGCGACCCTAGGCAGCGGTCTCCATCGAGGACTGCCACCCCAGCAGCGCCTGCCCCTCGGTCCAGACGGAGTGAGGTCGAGGGAAACTCAGGAAGCCACACCCCCATGTCGTGGTCCTAGCCCGCCGCCTGCCGCCGCGTGCGCCCGGTGGTCGCCATCGGCAGCCAACCCGGCCGCGAGGGGGCGCCGCAGGGCCCGCGCACCATGGCGTCCCGGGGCGGCTGCCTGGGCCTGCTGGCCTGGCTCCTGCTCCTGCTCCTGCAGCTGCAGCTCGGCGAGGCCTACGCATCCGCCGTGCCCCTCACGTCCTCTGGGCCCACGAGCGGCGAGGTTTCCGGGGCCAGCGGGCAGGAGGGGCCTACAGGGGAGTCGGTGGCGCACACAGACGCCCCGTCCATGCAGACGCGCACCCAGGTGGCTCCCACGCACGGCCCGATCGGGGTGCTGCCGCACCTGCTGGCGTTCTCCTCGGGTGAGCACGCCCCAGGTGAGCCGGCTGCGGAGCACTGGGACGCAGGGGTCGCCGGGCACGGGCTCGCAGGTGGGACCTGACTCTTCCAGTCCTTCTTCCTGCATATCCTGGTCTAGTGTGTGGCCGGCCCTTCCTGAAGATTGTTGGAGGCTTTAACGCGGAGGAGGGGAAGTGGCCCTGGCAGGTGAGCGTGCGCAACAGGGAGGAGCACGTGTGCGGAGGCTCTCTCATCGCGGCGCAGTGGGTGCTGACCGCCGCGCACTGCATCCTAAGGTGAGGGGCAGATGGAGATGCGGGGTCCTGCAAGCGGCCCTGCTCTCCTCCAACACCCTTGGCCCACCACCCTGGCGAACTGGTAAAACAAAAACACATTCGATGGAAAGGGGAAAGTTTCTGTACTGCCCTCTCTTTACTAAAGGTACTTAAGAGGATTTGGAGGGAGACCCAAAATGAGACGATTTGGTGCTAGAGATGGGGTGTGGGGGAGAGTGGCGAGGAAGGTTGGGGTCATGCTGGGAACCACCTCGGATGGGAAGGGCAGGAGGGACGCTTCCCAGGGTGAGGAGCATGTCCTCTCTCCCACAGTCATTGGCAGTACAGCGTGAAGATGGGAGATCGGCATCTCAGTACACAAAAGACAAGTCTGGTGATCCCCATCCAGAACATCATTGTCCATCCTAAGTTCAGAACAGCTGCAACGGTTATAAATGACATTGCCCTTCTTCGCCTCCTCTACCCTGTGAATTTTACCTCTACTATCCACCCTATCTGCGTCCCTTCTGAGCTTTTCCATGTGCAATCTGGGACCACGTGCTGGGTGACTGGGTGGGGCAAAACAAAACAAGAAGGTAAGACTTCCAGATCAGAAGCAAACTGGGGAGAGAGGAGAAGCAGTCATATCCTTGAAACAGAAATGAAGGCCAAAGAGAAGGAAAGACAGGGAGGTAAAGGGATTGCAGTTTAAGAGCAGTCAAGGTAATGGGTCCTGAATGGCTTGGGTGATCAAGAAATTTAGGAAAGTCACTTTGCCTGGGAATTGGAGTTGCTCAGCCAGGAGTTGCTCCTTATGCAGATTTTGGGGGCACATGGTGAGCTGGTTTGAGGGATTTTTGTGTTTGTTTGTTTTTTTTCCTCAAAAGGAGATAACCAGATAGGATTTCTGCCCAGGGGGGTGATGAACTGTCTGCCAGTCAGAGCTGCTTCTCATTGAGAATAGCTGTCTTTAGGATAGGGAGCTTCTTGTCTCTTGAAGTGTATGCAGAGCCTGAGATTCCTGTTCTGGACCTGAGGCTGTACAGCTTCCTATCCATGGGAAGAGGCTGGATTTGGTACCTGTGACTTGCTACCTGTCCAAGAGCCTGTGATCCTCCCCTAAAATGTGAAGTTGATTTACTGATGCTAAGGACACCCTGTCACCATTACTATCAAAACTCAAGAGTGACAGATGCTTGGTTGTCATTTCTCAGGATACTAAGGACTTGCCTCTCCCCCTTCTGAAATATTCTTCCTTTTCCCATCTTGGTTTTGCCTTTTACCCTGCCCTTCCCTGTGTCACCTTTGGGCCTCAGATCCCTCCTGTGTCAAATGGGGACAATGTAAACTGTCCTACTGTCTTCCAGGGTCAGACTGGATGCAGGGGGCTTACTATTGACTTGTACAGATTCACACTCTGCTTATCTTCTTCATTAGCGGACATGAATTCAACAGAGATTCTACAGGAAGTGGACCAACAAATCATCCTTTACCAAGAATGTAATGAGAAGATACGGACAGCCTTGTCATCTAAAAGGGATCTGGTCTTGAAAGGGATGATATGTGGTGATACCAAAAAAGGAAAGGATGCTTGTCAGGTAAGTTTGCACACCCTTTCCTCATATTTGTGCCTCCTTCATTTACCCCCTAGTTGAGCTAAGGAGGTGTACAGGGAGTGACCCCCTAGACTCCCTTAGCTGGTCTGGCCTGTTTCTTCAAAAGGAAGCAATCTTCGCTATCTGGGGCACTGCTAGGGTGCTGAAGGTGGGCTGGGTGATGTCCACATTGTGTTTCACTAGTTGAGCTCTCCTATGCAGCACTCACCCTGCCAGTGTGAGCGCTAGTCCAAATGATCCCAGTTAACCCACATCACGACTCAGCAACACAGACACAGTGCCTACTATCCACATGAGGAAGGGGAGATCCAAGGACATCAATTCAAGGTCGTTCTGAGAGTACCTCTATGACTCCCAGGCCCATGTTCTTCCCTCTCCACCAAGCTTTGTTCCCGAGGAGAGGGCTTTTGGGCCTAGTCTTATCAGATGCATATTTGCATGTATTGGAAAGAGCTTTACCGTTGGAATGAACAAAGAAGAAGTTCCAAGAACCCTGAATATTTTGATTATCACCTGTGCAGAGAGAGGGCCAAAGTCCTTACCTCTACTGAATGATTTCTCCCTTCTGTGAACCCATGTACCCAACCCCATCCATCCATCAGCTCTGCTACCTTCAAGACTTTGAAACATTCCAAGAGTAACTCAGCCTGGCTTTTCCCAAACCTACTGCACTGTCCCTACTACCAGTCACTTCTGTGAGAGGCCCAGAGTCTTCATGTAGAGAGAGGGCTCAGCATGTACAGTGTCCCAAAGGTCTGGGGGCAGATCTTCAGTTGAAGGATGATTTAAACATGTAGAGCAATGGGGTAGCAGATGTGGCCAGAGAGATGAGTGGGTGGGGTGGGGAGGTAGAGTGAGCCTGGGTGCAGGGCCAAGTTCTAGCCTGGCTCAGGCAGGACTGGGAGGGAGCCTGGGTGAGTGTGATCAGATTTGTCTTTTAAGTCAGTGACTTTCTTGGTTGTGTGGTGCCTAGACTGAAGTCTAAGAGCAGTTTTCATCATCTAGGGATCACCATTTGATCCCAAGCAGGGTATGGGGCAGCAAGGAGCCATAGGACATGTATTTGAGGTGGAATGGTGAAGATCATAGGGCGCTGGTGTTGAGGGAGGGGCTGAGGAAGACCCTGGGTTTCTCCTGGAGGTGACTGGTGGTGGGGCTAGTGGAGCAGGTTTGGTTCAGGACACGTTGACTTGTGCTGGAGTTGGAATATGTATGGGATGTGAGTGGACTAGGGGGAGTTTGCTACATAGGTCAAGAGTTTCAGAGAAACTCCAAGTTCAGTATAAGGATTTGGGGGCTGCAGTGCAGAGGTGATATTCAAAATGTTTAACGACCACTGAGGTTTGGGAAATGGCCAAAATAACTTTTCAATTTCCATATTTCCATATACAGTTCTCATGTTCACAGAAGCCTGGCCTGGGCAGGGCCTGTGGGGTGACCAGGGAAGCCCTATGTGTCTGTCTCCCTGGCACCTTGCAATTCCATTCCTGCAGTTTGTTTCTTTATCTTTCTCCAGGGAGACTCTGGGGGCCCCTTGAGCTGTGAGTTTAATGAGACCTGGATCCAGGTGGGGATTGTGAGCTGGGGCGTTGCCTGTGGTCACTCAGACTTTCCTGGAGTTTACACTTATCTCAGCTTCTACAGCAAGTGGGTGGTTGCTACGGTGAACCAGGCTGTTCCTTTGTGTTCGGTGATGTTCCTCATTCTACTGGAGTGTCTTACGCTGCCTGTGGGCATCCTGGTGACTCTATGATCACCCTGGCCCATTCCCTTCCTATTTCTGGGTCTCCCATTAGGCCTCCAATCTCCTTTGCCTTTTCAATGCCCTTTATTTTGTTTATTTATTTTTGGTACCGGGATTGAACTCAGGGGCACTTGACCACTGAGCCACATCCCCAAGCCCTATTTTGTATTTCATTTAGTCTCACTGAGTTGCTTAGCACCCCGCTTTTGCTGAGGCTGGCTTTGAACTGGAGATCCTCCTACTTCAGCCTCCTGATTTGCTGGGATTTTAGGCCTGAGCCACCATGCCAAGCTCAATGCCTTTTCTTCAAATTCTGGTTGGAATCGCTTCCTCCTGGGGAGCCCCACAATGGGGACTGGCGGGGGACTGGGGCCTGCAAGGTGTTCCAGCCTGGTGCTCTGCTCACCTGCCTCAACCAACCTATGCCTGACCCATACTCTACCTGCCGGGAATATGGATGAACTGATTCTAGCTAGAGGGCCAGCAGACCTGCCACTCGGAGCGTGGTGACTCAGGGACACCTTGGAGAACATCTACCAAAGGAGAGAATTCATCACGGTGAAGGAAGCTGAACCTGGCCCTAGTTTCAGGGTCTCCCTGGGACTTTGTCACACCAACCTGCAAGGTGATTGCAGTGGCAGTGAAGGAGGCCCTCGCAGGTCCCTGCAGAGGTGTGAGGCCTGGGACTTTAGCATCTGGCTTGGTGCCTGGAGCTGGCACATGTTTCCCTGTACCCAGTGTGGCTCTGTGAGTGGGTAGCCTGTGGCACACAGGCCCCACAGGGCACCCCAGACTGGCACCTCTTCCTCAGTGGCTGCATTGGGGGACACTCCAAGTTGTGTTGAGGCAGTTTTGAGTGTGGAGATTTCAGATGTGAACTCAATAAATGTTTGAAGAGTGCTGTGTGTGTTCTGCTGCTGTACTGGCCTGGGGTGTGGGGGCCTTGCAAAGAACGTTTCTCATGGGAAACTTAGGAAGATGTCGTGATTCTTCTTAGATCATAGAGTGAGAGGAGCGGCCCCTGCCTGCGCCCATGTGTGTTGGACAGATGGTTTTAGCCAGTTGGGTCCTGCTGTGGTGCTGCCATCAGCATTTCTGCATGGAGCTCTGTAGTGGAGTTTGTTCTTTGTTGGCTCTGGGAAGCAGGAAGTGAGAGATGGTAAGCGAGAGGGAGATCAGGGAGTTACATCCCAAACTGTACCTGATTTCTGCTTCTCCCCCATATGTTTAAAGCCTTGAGCCCCCAGTAGGGTTGGTCAGGCCTTAGGGAAAACAAAGGGCTGAGGCTGAGGGAAGTGATAGATCAGGGTGCTTATGGTGTCTGCTGGTTCAAGAGACTGATGATCATTTCCTCTGATATCTTTCCTTCCTCTCCTCCTGGGCATATAGATGATCAAAATAAAGACATATTTCTATATCTTCCTCACATTCATGCATGGTACATGTTATACGGCTAAGTACATATAAACAGAAGTGTTGTTATGAATTCTGGGAAATATTTTTACAAGGAGGCCAAATTGCTTGTTATTTATCCCTTCTTTTCTGGCTTGATTGTGTATGTGGTACCTGGAGCTTGAGCAGCTGTCTTGGGACAGAAGGAACATGCTATGCGGATGAGACAGCAATTCAGAAGGAATTTGGCTTCCTGGTATTTGTAGGGATGACCCTGCAGCCCTTATCCAACAGAGAAATAAGCTTCACTTTTCATTAAGTCACTGTCATATTGAGTCTCAGTTACTCATAGAAAAATCTCATTACAGCTACTCAGTTGGATATATGGAGCTTTATTTCTGGATTGTTGTGAATGTAGATTTTTCCAGTTATTATTTAGACTCGATTCTTTTTTCTATTTCCCCATTTCATTGTTTCCTTATCTATACATTTTTTTTTAAAAAATCGATAAGGTTAAAATCTTAAGTTGATAAATGATTATATTAACTCAATGTATTTCTATATTTTTATTTTCTTTACCAAGGTATAGTTTGTACATAGTCAAATGCACAGTACCCCACCCGATATCCTCCAGATCAGGATAGAGAATATTTCCATGGCTCCAGGATGTGCCCTTTTGTCATCTCCTCCCAGAAAGAGCCACTGTTCTGATGATTCTCAGACTAGATTCCCATGTTGTACATCTCATACAAATGGAATCGGAGAGTAAGTGCTCTTTTGGGTCTGTCTTCTTACCTTCCGTGTATTTTGAGATTTATCCCTATTGTTACATGTACCATTAGTTCATTCCTTTAAAAAAATTTGTTTTTGTAGTTGTCCATGGACAGCATGCCTTTATTTTATTTATTTATTTTTTACAAGGTCCTGAGGATCGAACCCAGTGCCTCAGGCATGCGAGGCAAGCGCTCTACCCGTGAGCCCCAGCCCCAGCCCCCAGCACTAGACTTTCGGTGTACATGTTTTCACTTCTTTTGGGAAGAAACCTGATGGTGGAACTTGTTCATAGAGTAGATAACATGTTTAACTTGTTTAGAAATTTCCAAAGAGTTTTCCAAATTGGTTGGACCATTTTATACTCCTGTCAGCAATAAATGAGAGCTCCAGTTGACCCATGTCCTCATTAGTACTTTTATTTGCTCAGTTTTAATAAGAGGAAGTGATAGCTCACTGAGGTTTGAATTTGCATTTCCCTGTCATTTATGACATTGGGCACTTTTTCATGTGCCATTGATTACTTTCGTATCTTCTTCTTCTTCTTCTTTTTTTTAAAATATTTTTTTTTACCTGTCAGTGGACATGCGGGGCTAAGAATCAAACCCAGTGCCTTACACACACTAGGCAGGTGCTCTATCACTAAACCACAAACCCAGCCCCTTGTATCTTCTTTTGTGAAGTGTCTTTTCTTTTGCCCACTTAAATTGGGTTGCTTATCTTTTTATTGCCAATTTATAAGTATTCTTCAGATTAAAGTCCTAAGTCCAGGGGTGGTGGGTGGTGGGGTGGTGGCTCAGTGGTAGAGCACTTGCCTAGCATGTGTAAGGCACTGGGTTAGATCCTTGGCACCACATAAAAATGAATAAATAAAATAAAATGAAAGAATGTTGTATCTGTTTTTTTTTTAAAAGTCCTAAGTCTAATTTGTTCACTTTCTTTTCTTTCTTCCCTCTCTTCTCCTTCTCTCCTCTCCCCTCCTCTTTCTTTCCTTTCTTCCTTTCCCTCCCTTTCCTTTCTCTTTTTCTTTCTTTCATTCCCAGGGATTGAACCCAGGGCTCTTAATCTCAGAGCCACATCCCCAGCCCTTTTTAAGTTTTTGTATTTAGGAACAGGGTCTCACTAAGTTGCTTAGGGCCTCACTAAGTTGCTGAGGTTGGCTTTGGACTTCTGAGCCTCTAGCCTCAGCCTCCTAAGTTGCTGGGACTGCAGCATGTGCCACTGTGCCCAGCTAATTTTGTTCACTTTCTGAACTGGTGATAGCAAAGATTTTTCTTCTGTTTGTCTCCTATAAGCTTTATAGTTTTAGGTTTCTAATCAGCAGATTAATTTTTGTTTATGTCATGAGAAGAGGATCCAGATATATTTTTTCCATGTCTTTTATGTTTGTTCAAAGTGCCTTTATTTTTACTACCAATTGACAATGTATATTAGCACCTATTTCCGGACTCTATTCAGTTTTCAACCCATTTTTATACTCTTCTACCAATTCGTCACTGTCCCAGCCACTAAAGCTTTAAAGTTAGTCTTGAAATTTGGTAGTGTTATGCCTCCAAATTTCTTTGTTTTTCAGGCTGGAGTTTTTTTTTTTTTAATAGAAATGGATAAGCTGATTCTAAAATGAGTACGGAAATCAAAGGACCTACAATAACCAACATGAAGAACTAGTGGATTTCAAGACTTATTATAGAGATATAATGAGACAAGGTTGTATTGGGATAAAAACAGAAATACAGATCAGTGTCACAGGAGGAGACCAGATAGAGGTACACGGATATAACCAATGAATTTCAACCTGAGGTAACTCAGTGAGGGGACCGATGATCTTTTTAATAAACAGTGCTAAGGGCTGGGGGTATAGGCCCGGGGTAGAGTACTTGCCAGCAAGGCCCTGGGTACAGTCACTAGCATCATGGAAAATAAAAAAATAAATGGTTCTAGAAAAACGAGCCTCTGTCTTTACCTTGCATTGTTTAGAAAAACTAACTCAAAATTAATTGTAGAACTAAATGTAAAACCTTAATCTATCAAATTTCTAGAAGAAAAATATCTATGGTCCTCGTGGAGTCAAAGAAACTTAACATAGGTCACAAGAAGTGTGGACAATGTGAGGTTAAAAAAAAAAGTGTGTATTGGATTTCACCAAAATTAAAATCTGCTCTTCAAAAGCTACTGTTAAGAAAATGGGAATAAAAGTCACAGACTAGAAAAATGGGGCAACAATGTCCACCAAAAACTTACATATAAATATTCATAATAACCAGAATCTTAGAAATAACTCCAATGTCTTTCAATAATTGAATGGTAAACAATGGAATACTACTCAACAATAAAAAGGATAAAATTGTATTCTTCATTTTTAAAAACAACAAAAAAAATAAAGAAAAAGAAACTCCTGATATACACAATTACGTGGATGAAATTCAAAAACATTATGTTGAGAGAAAGAAGCCAAATCCTCTCCATTTAGATTGTCTCTGTTAGGAGAAGAGTGGAGGACTTAATGCTTTTGAGGGACTGACCCTCACCACACATTGGTTCTTCATGACTTCTTTGATGTAGGCACTGTCTTCACTCAGTAGCCTTTCAGGCTTCTTCCCGAGGTCAGCAGCAGGAGCTTTAAAATCTGCCTTTACCTTTCAGGCACATTTAAGTTCTGTGGGTTACCAGTTGCAAAATAAAAATGTGATCTGCAAACTACCAAGCACCTATGTCCTGAGTAGCCAAAAAAGAAATGAGAAAGAAGGAAAGGTCCAACTCCCAACTCCCCACTCTCTTTGCTTTCCTACATTTCTAAGTGAATGTCCACAGTGGGATGGGGGAGGGGGGTGTCAGGGGATGGGGGAGGAAGAGAAGGAAGTTGCCAAGGAGATGCTGATTTCCAGCTTCATCACCAGACTGGATTAGGGATTTTCAAAAAAAGTAGGGATAACTCCAGTCTTTGGGTTAGACAGTTCTTTAAACAAAAAAGGAGATAATGTGAGCATTTTCAGGACACCAGGAGATGTAGAAATCA